AAAGTTTTAAATTCCCGCACACACATTCTGCAGATCAGTTGATGCGGAGAAGCTCTCAGTCAGCCCTGCACTGTCCTCAGTTGTGTGAAATCATCCTGTGATCTGCTGAGTGTGTCCTGCCATTAATTTTGAGAAAAATTTGCCACCCAAAAGGCAAAATGGTGCCCCAAAAGAAAGGTAAAAGTCATGGTGGTAATCTTCCCAAGACAAAAAGGGCATGCAAAGTGCTTAATTGAAGTGATAAGCTGAAAATTGGAGATTTGCTGGAAGGTAGCATACATGTCTGTAGAGGAAGTTATGGGAAAAATGAATCAAGCATCTCCAGTACAGCACTGTCAGATACTGTGGTAAGCTTTTTCTTAAGGATAGGAATTAGTGTGGCCTGTGAAGAGCTTACTTAAAGCAGAGCAAACAGACATTTAGTCATGCTATCTGCATGACTAAGGTAGGCAGCTCTAGAGGAACACTGTAAGTGCTAAATATACAAGCACAAGCTTATCACTGTACAGGAAAAGTTATCAAATGCAAAAGTAGGCATAGAAATGTCTTCTTTGAGCAGGATATGGGAGATACTAAGAGGTCTATGGCTTAAGGTTCCAATTTAAAGGTGAAAGGTTGTTAAACTGCTAACATGAGATAGGGGTTAAAAATGGATAATTTGAGGGCTGGCGGAGTGGCTCAAGTGGTAGAGCACCTGCCTAGCAAGTGCGAGTCCCTGAGTTCAAACCCCAGTGCCATAAAACAAAACAAAAAAAAAAAATGGGTAATTTGAAAGCAAATTGGATGAGCTGATCAAAGTGAATTCTGTAGCAAAGGGGGATTTATTCTAATTATTCTAGCTAAAGAGAAGAAAATAAAGTACACAAGATTTGCTAAAGATGTGCTGAAAACTACTCATAAACAGAAAAGTTTGATCAAAGATTCGTCAAACATACAGATATAAATCCTAAAAAAAAAAGAGTATGGGGCTGATTTTGCTGAGTTAGGGTCTTTAACCACAAGGAAAAAACTCTGTAATATTTTAGGTGGATTTATATTGAATTCATTAATTTAGAAAATATACGTTATTAGTGTTTTTTTAAAATAATCTGTACCACACAGAGTTTATGCTCTACCCCTTCCTTATATTAAAAAACAGGCCACTCTGGGCTTATGTGAGGTCACTATGCAATGAGAGGCAACACAGGAGTGATTAAAATGTAGACTCTGGAGTCACTACTTTGAACAAGTTTCTTAATCTCACTGAGCTAAAGTTTCTTCATGTACAAAATGAGACATTTCCTGTCTCATAAGATCTTTGTGAGGCTTAAGTAGCTAGGACATAAAAATCCCCAGAACTGTGCCTGGCTCAGAGTAAGTACTATATGAATATTAGCTGCTGCTGTTCCTATTACTACTGGTAGTTGTCTTTAAGCCATCACAAAATAAAGAGAGAAAGCCAGGGTACTAAAAGAGAAACCCTTATAGGAGGCATCTCTACCCTTTCATTGAGGAAGGGTTACTTTTCGTTTCCCTGAAGTCTTGAATCACTCTGGGGAAAGCAAGGGTGGTATACCAACACTAAGTTCAGATATTAGAATGGAAGAGAGGCCAGCCACCACTTCTGGCTGTCCTTCCCTGCCTGCTGGGAAGCAAGAAAGACAGCAAAGAGAAGAGTGACACTAGCAATTAGCTTGGAGCTTTACCAGGAAGAGCATTAAGATCTAAATTTTGGCACTTTGATCAGGACAGTTTGAGGATGACAGGGAGGTTGTCATGCCAGGGAAACCTCCATTAAAAGATACCACAGAGTCTGCTGGATTCCACCAGATCCAATCCTGCTAACAAACACAGAGGGCACGTGATAAGGAAACACTACCTATCCCTCTCACAGCAATTTTTAAATTTGGGGGACACTCCACATGAAACTAAGTTTATTTTCCAGAGTGCTCTGAAATCTGTTGTGTTCAGAAATATTAATGTCAAGCCTTTGAAAGAAGTCCCAGTAGCAATATACCAGATAAAGATCATCCTACCATACCTAGCTATATCAAGTTATTTTTCAACAACTAATTGATTTCAAACTTCTAACTAGAACAGTTGATTATAACTTATCTCAGAAGATACCTCTGATCTAAGTTATTTGGGATAAATTAAAGAATTGAAAACTTCTCTATTAAAAAAATGAGCAAGAAAAACATGCCAAATATATTAACATGAAGATTAAAGATGTTTCAATCTCAGCATAAATCGAGTTTGCTCTGAGCACATTTTCTATTTGATCAAATAGTTATCAAAAAAATAAAGTGGTGATCTAAGAAATCGCCCACAAAGAGCATTTTATAATTGATTTTCAAACATCTATACCATGTCATCCTAGTCTTACCACAAACCCTCCATCTCTGGGAGATTTTAGGAAAGAAACTAAAGAGAGCCATAAAAAGCCAGTTTGTCACCCCCCGTATTCATAGACAAGAAAGCAGAGTTCCAGCATTAATAATCATAGGAATCCAAGCCTTCTCACGACACCATTTCTATAGGTGGCAGAGCAAAGATATGGAAAGAACCTAGATGGAGCTCTGGAAGAGAGGCTCAAGTGGTAGAGTGAGTGCTGAGCAAACACAAGGCCCTGAGTTCAAACCCCAGTGCCACCAAAAAAAAAGGAAGAAGAAGAACGTAGATCAGATTACCTATCTTTGGGCTTCCTGTTATATGAATTATCAGGTTTCTTTAGTATTTAAACCAGTTTTATAGTGTAACACAAAGCATTTAAATTTACAGACTGTGCTTTCCAAGTCTATCACTACATAAGAATTTCATCCACAATCATGTGTTAGCTAAAAAAAATTTACTTTAAATAAGCTGGGAGATAACAGTCCTAGTAAATAGGTTATGGATAATTAGAAATAGTCCAAGAATTCAAAAAATAATTTATTTGTGTATCTATCTATCTATCTATCTATCTATATATATATATCCTTTAAGATTTAGCAATAAAGGAGAAAATGCATAATAAAATCAAACTCTGCCATAAAATTTTACTTTTATAATTTGCTTAGTTATGCAGTATTATAGGACACAAAAAATTGCAACTTGTTAAACCCTAAAGTATTCTTCAGGATCATACGATTTAAATCACAATCAAAGGAATAAAGGCTAGTACTTTTTATATGGCTGAATTCAGAGAAAAAAAATGTTCTGGGGCTGGCAGTGTGGCTCAAGTGGTAGCAAGTATGAGACTGTTGAGTTCAAACCCCAGTACCACCATTAAAAAAAAAAAAAAAAACCTTCCAATTTTGATGCCAGTAACATAGAGTAGATTGATCATAACCCACAGAAAAGCCAAAATGGTATACTTTATCCATTTATAGTGTTTCCAACTTTACCAGACAGCACAAACTGTTAAAATACAAATGAAGATGTTTCTAGAAAATAGTGACTTAAACATTTACAACAGCAAAAAGACAAGAAGGTCATAAAGGGGAGATGTATGCTGGAGTGACTAGCTTGTGAAAGGGGGACAGGACAAAGGGAGGTTGGCAGGAGTAAACCACTCAGAAAGTCTCCCTGTGAAGGCCACAATCTCAACCTCTCTGGCACATGCAAAGATCAACTGTTACATAAGGAGGACTGATCCTTTAATCAAGATCACTTTATGATCTGAATAGCATACACTTAAAATTATAGAATTCTGAAAGAATTCAGCCTGTTTTACAATCACATCAAGTAACCATTACTTCACATGCTTTAGGTAATGTTACCGAAGCTATTTTAAGATTAATTAACACCATAAATATACTATAGATTTAAATTGAAACAAAAAATAGTGTATCATTATATCTATTGTATATAATGTATCCATACTCAAAGTAGATGTCGTTAGGCCTGGAAAGAATGCAAATGAACCAACTTTACTATATAAAATAATCTCACAAAGATAATCCCTTCAATGGGAAAGGGCTCTCTGTAACCCCTGGATCACTTCTGCCAGTAGACAAGCCTGATCACAGCTGTAGCTCAAGCAGTTTGGAAGTACAGCAGCAGAGCTGGTGGACAGGGGAATGTGTGTAGACTTCTTCCCTATAATTAGCCCAACCCAGCTGTGGTGACAAAAGGGTTGGACTCCTCTATTTTAAGGTGTGCAGCTCCAAATTACTTAAGAGTATGTAATTGCTGGTTAGTTTCTAGAGCTAAGAGTGTCAACAGCCTTTCCACCAAGGCTGTAGAATGGCCAATGAGTCTCCACAACACTTACTCACTGTGCCATCTGGGGTCCAAATACATTGCAAGTAACATCATAAACCAGAGCTACCCTTGAAGTTTTTCACATGCAAGGACACGGTAAGAAAAAATAAGCCAGAAGAAATATCTCTTATTTTTTTCCTGCTACTCTACCCCTCCACACAAAACACACATACAATATAACAAAAGAATGTGTGGGGGAGGACTAACAAAAGCCATAATACTAAAGTATTCTTGTCTTTTCAGAAAAGTATATACAACTGACAGCTGAAAACCTTCCAGGTAATGTCACACTATTGTATACTTCCCTCTAAAAAAGTGCCGTGCCACAGAAATAAACCCATGGGAAGGGGCTACTCAGTTTGCATCTGCATTCCAGAAACATTAGAAGAGATTGGTGAAGGTCCTATTGGTGTTGGTAAGAGAATATACACTAATGTTTAAAAAAAATGGGGCTAAATTTCAAAACACAAATGAAAGAAAGTAAAAAGACATGACCTTTTCTCCTAACTAATGATAATTTTATCAACCAAGGGTAAAACTGGGTTGTGAGCTATACAGGCTTTACACACACTTGAAATTCAAACTGCACAGATAACATTCATGATTGCAAGAACCTCAGAGCAATGAGCTAGCATCTATTTTATTACTAGCAACTCGAGATACTTGAGCAGAATACACATTCAGAACTATTATTTTCCTGACACTATCATGTTCCACAATATTAAGACTTGCTTTGACAGGCTCAGTTACTCTAAGAATAAAAAGAACACACATACCTTCATTTTCAGAAGCATGACATTTCACTTTCAATACCAAGTCAAAGGTCCTTTCTGGATTTTCCCTAAAATAAGCAGAACTTTGTTATATTTATTTCCTACAAAAAATAAGCATTTTTATAAAGCTTATATGTAAATAGATTTACACATGTGGGGGGAGTTCTTTTTATTTTGCAGTGCAGGTGATGGAAACAAGGGCGTGGAGTATGCTAGGTCAGAGCCCTCCTGCTGAGCTATAGCTCCAGCCCTATAATGTACTTACTTCTAAAATTAATATTGTTCTTGTCTCAATATTAACTATATGACCATAATATAGCAGATGTATGAAAGTGTTTCATCAGTGTTTTGGCAACATAAGAGAACTGAGATTTAGCAGTTCTGAGACTTGGGGCAAAGCGTAACCTCTGAGACTGTCCTCTCAAAGTGCCTTGTCCACTTCACAGAATAATTTTGAGGATTATAAATCAAATAGCATATGCGCAAGCACTTCATAAAATAGATGTAAAGCACTGCTCTTATTGAGTCAAAATTAGAAAGCCAGTGCATGCCTACATGTCTCTTAAACAGACTCTCAAGCATCCTTCAAGGACTTGAAGTAAGGGCTCCACCTGCCTCGTTCTAGATCACCATAGAATATTTACAATGTTCCTCTTAAAGGTGACATGCTTCTTGAGATGTACCTGCTGCACTTAAGCATGTTCAAAGTAGCAAGCTGTTCACATGCTGAGTCTAACAAAAGCAGGATTTCTTCATATCAACTTTTTTTTTTTTTTTTGCAGTACTAGGGTTTGAACTCAGGGCCTTCCCCTTGAGCCACTCCACCAGCCCTATTTTTTTAATGGGTTTTTTCTAACTATTTGCCTGGGCTGGCTTTGAACCACGATCCTCCTGAGTAGCTAGGATTACAGGCGTGAGCCACCAGCACCCGGCTGTATCAATTATTTTTGTATTAGTTATTACATCTGCCTCCAGATTAGATTTTCCCACCAAGAACAGTAAGGTTGCTTTGCTTCATTCAGAAGCAACTGACTTTTCCACTAACTTTGCACTCATTTAACCTATTTGTTGGTTAAATTTCAAAAAGTGAACTGAAATCTATTGAGATACTTTTCTGTTTTGAAACATAGTTCTGTTTTAATCTCTCTTTCCATCAGAGATTCAAGATTAAGTGAAGTCTAGAGGTATGGCTCAGTGGTAGAGTACCTGCCTAGTGGTCTAGGCTGCTTGAGGCCCTAGGTTTGACCCCCAGCACCGCAAAAAAAAAAAGTCTGACACCCAATGCCAAAGTGTTACACACATATTTCACGTATTCTGGTAAAAACACCTTTATTGTCTTTGTACGCTGTTTTTAATATGCACTTCCTTGAAGAAATTATTGCCAGATTTGACTTCTAGAAAAGATTGATTTAGAAGAATTACAAGACATGCTTTTAGAACCTCAGGAAGTGACAAGTCATGTCACTGCATTTGCAAATACACATTTGGTCAGCATGTATACTCTTAACTTGTTTCTTGGCAACAGTGTGAAGGTTGTCTCCTCATCCCATCTTCACTCACCCTGCCCATCCCGCTGTCAAACACTGAAGAAAGTCTAAATTACACCATCCCTCTATTTTCCTAATAAACTCTAGAATCTCTCTTAGGTATAAAAGTTAAATATTGATCCAGCTATACCGCTGCGAAATTTAAAAGGCCTTTCATCATAACACAAAGATGCATACTTCTTATTTTACATTTAAAGGGGGAGGGGTGGCGGAGTGGCTCAAGTGGTAGAGCACCTGCCTAGCAAGAGTGAGGCCCTGAGTTCAAACCCCAGTACCGCAAAAAAATAAAAATGAAAAATAAAAGAGGAAGGAGGCGGAATCAAGAGAAGAAAGTATTCTTTCCAAAGTAAGTTTCAGGAGAAAAATAACAAACTCACGCCTGTAGCAGCAACATCACCACGGCTATGCAAACTGCTTTTCACCTGATCTGAAGGAATACAGACCATGGTGGCACCCACATAAAAGTACCCTGGGAACTAAATGCCATTTTGCAAGCCCGGTGCCTGCGCGCAGTGGCTGTGCAGAGGGACCTCGGTCAGAGCCTGCTTTGATTCGCCGAGGAGAACCAGAAGAAAGCTGCGCCGGGCGGTCCCGGGGACAGCAGCGTTGTCCCCGCCAGCGCTCCGCGGGGTGCGGCCCCCTCCCTCCGCTCGCCACACCCGCGACGCGACAGGCGGATCCGGCGAGTCCGCCACCGGGGGGACCCGGGAGCCGCGCGCGGGGAGCGCGGGTCTCGCCCAGCCCCCGGGACACAAGCGTCGCCGCGCGGGGACCTCGGGGCCGGACAGGCTTTGCGGCCTAGCGCCGTCCCGCCTCCCTCGGGCCGGGCCGGGGGCTCGGAGCGGACGCGTCCCGCGAGTCGCCGACTGGCAGGACGCACGGGGCTGCGCGGGGCCCCACGTCCCCGCCGCACTCACTTGGTCCTGCAGTCCATGGTTACATGTCGCTGCGGGGCTGTCTGTCGGTCCGTCCGCCCCCCGCCGCCGATCCGCGGGGAAAGAGGCTGCTCACAGTGGCGGCGGCGGCGGGCCCATGTCGCTGCGCCCCCGGCGCGTCCCCGCCTCCCACCCCACCCCACCCCACCCCCGGGCCTTTCTGTGACAGCAGCAGCGGCGTGGCCGCCGTCACCCAGGCCAGGGCCTCTCTCAGTTCCTGCCACCCCGGCCGCCCGCAGCGACTCCGGCACCTTCTGCAAACCAGGAAGTCGCCGGAAGGGAGGGGGAAGGGGCGCGCGGGGACGCGCCGGCCGCTGCACCTGGGCCTCGCGGCCCGCGGAGGATGGGCGGCCGGCGGGGTCCCCGCGCCCTGGGCAGCCTCTCAGAGGCTCTCCCCAGAGTGCAGAAGCCTGCCACCCAGCTAACTCCAAGGTGTCCCGGTGTCCTCAGCGCTGCACCAACCAGCTGCCTTCCTGGGTCCAGGCCAGGCTCCAGGGCATCCAGCCTCCAACCTCCCCAACAGTGGAGTACCTGGAAAAGTACCTTCACTTGCAGGCTGTTTTCTACATCACGTGCACGCGAAATCGAGTCCCTTGCATGTCACACTGCAAATTCGGAGCTCACGTGAACGCTCCCTGGGTTCGGCCTCACTCCAGCTGTGGCCTGGTTCCTGCTCCCTGAAAGCCACAGCTACCCCTCCTGATTCAGGAATGCTCAGTTGTGTGCACCTGCTAAATAGCTCTGTCAAGTAGCAGAACCATAACGCACCACTTGCCTGTACATATGGCAAGCAGACATTCCTTGCTGTAGCATTAGACAGGACTAACTTCTGGATACACTCAGGGAGGGGCAAGCCTCCTGTACTGGCAGGCCTGGGGAGCTCAGAGGGCACCAGTGAACCATGAAGATGGCTGGGGAGGGGCTGGTTTACAAAGCACCAACATGCCTGTTAAGCGGGTTGTAAACATGAGCTCGGTACTCTTAGCTGTATTATACTTTCATCACTGTTTCGTATATGAGGAGACTGAGGTCAGATTGAGCAGTATGGCTAGGCTAGAAATCTGATTACTGATTACTCACTTCTGCTTCTAACTACTGCTTCCTCTGCTCTGAGGCCTTATATTTGGGATCTACTAAGAGATATAGAAAATGTCCTATGGTGGACGTTCAAGAGATTGTCCAGGGCTGGACTGTTAGATCTGGGGAAGGCCTCCTCCCACCCCAACACTGTCAACTTTAACACAAGGCTACAGTGATTTTCATCCACGTGGGGGTTGCTTCAGACTTTGTTCATGCTGAAGGTAAGAGGATGAAAGGAAACCAAATGTGCTATGAATGTGTGAGTCATGAAACACAAGACTCAAACAAGGAGTCTTGGGAATTAAAGACCTTAAAAACAGGGTATCTAAAGTCAAGCTCAGTTATAATGATCTTAAACATTCTTGCCAAAGTTGGTGTTACTTGGTCAACCAAAGAAGACACATTGCATAGCTGTTGATCTCTTCGTCAAAAATGACAGCAGGATACAATTGAAAAAAAAAAACAAAACCTATATTTTAGCATAATGTTTTGTCATAACTTGACTTGGGTGAGACATTTAACTTCAGTTTCTCAGTTCCTACATTTTTAAAATGTATTATTGCTTGTATATCACATGAGCAGTGCGATGTTCAAGTTTAAAAGTTCTAAAAATTTTTGTGATTTCTGAGAAATTATTCTGTGAATTTCACTTTCACAATTAGACCAACCACATACATTTGTTTTTCCCAAGTAAAGCTTTTCCTGCCTAACAAGTTAGAATACTCCAAAGCCTTGAACTAAATTCTGTAAACTTAAAACCACTTCTGCTCCAACTGTTGCTGAATTTTTTGAGCTTCTCCTTTCGTTATAATTAATCCTCCAAAGAGAAGAACCTATCTAGTCGTGCCTACATCATGACTTTTAATTTGGGAGCTAGGAGACATGGTAGTTGTTTTCTCCATCCCTTGTTAGTATATTTTAAGTGACAGTCATACTCCTTGATAATGTTTATGAAACCAGTGGCATAATTTTAGTAACACTCATTTCATATATGACTTATCGTATGACTGATAGAGAAGTGCACAGAGGGCAAACTTTCAAGCTGCTATTACATCTTCCCAAGGTGATATTTCAGTAATAGTATTTCCTATTCGACAATTGAAACTAACATTTTCAGAACCGTAGAAGTCAAAGAACATGGTCTGTAAGTTATTGTTTTAAAATGTTTTTGAGACTTAATTTTAAATGTTTTAAGTGGATTTTTAAAGTATATTCTGGGGCTTGGGAGGTAGCTCAGTGGTAGAGCACTTGCTAGCATGCACAAGGAGGCCCTAAGTTTGATCACCAGCACAAAAGTAAGGGGGAAAAAGGAATACTGTTTCTCTTGAGTGTGGTATTCTAACAGTATGATCTTGATCGAGTGTGATGAGTGTGTTGTTCACATCTGTTGCTAAATTTTGATTTGCTTGACAAAATTTCAATTGCAGGAAGAGGTGAGTTAAGATATTCTAATACTTGATGGGATTATCTACTGTAATAGTGCTATCATTTCTTTTGCTTTGTGTAGTTTGTAGCTGTTATGATAGACATAACAGTTTATAATGGTTTTATATAGAGAGACCTGAAATTGAATTGTTTATTACTATGCTGTGACTTTCTTTTGCCTAAACAGTTCTCTCCTGAAACTTTCAGACTGTCAAACTGAAAACATTCCTGCAGTCTACATTGTTATGTTTTGGATTTATCTAACAAATTTTAATTTTGACTTTAACCTATTCTGATTATCTTTGGCTCTCAGAGCAGGCTTTTCAACCATTTGTATCTACTATAATTGCTCATAAATTTGATTTATTTCTGCCACTTAATGTGTTTCCCTTTATTTTCTTTTCCTGATTTTTGTTTGTTTGTTTCCCCTTCCTCCTTAACCTTCTTTGGAACCAATTGTGGTTTTTATGCTTTTATTTCTGGACACCCTCCAGCCTAACCTTCTAGTTTGGAAGTTATGTACTCTATTCATTTGTTAGATATCCTGGGAATTCTAAGAAAGAAATTTGATTAAATCCAGAGTTCACAATCACATCCACTTTCTCCCAAACAACACAAGGACCTTAAAAAACAAGTCAAAATCACAATACATTATGAATGCCATTTTACACAGTGTTTGCTTAGATCCACCACTCATTTTGCTCTTTTTTCTTATTTTAGTGGCTCTTACATCTAAGATCACTTTACTTTTTCTTAAAATATATGCCATGGCTGTGGGCATACTCTCCCTCTTTTTGTTTGAGAAGAAGTGTATGTTACCCTGATTCTTAAAAAAAAAGTTTTCTCTGATAACTTCTAAATTCACAATTATTTCCTTCTGCATACTTTCAATATAATCACATAGTTCCTCTAGTTACAATTTGAATCTTGAAACTAATCTTGAAATATCTGTCTTTTCTCTCTAGCTGCATCTTTTTTTCTTTTTGTTTTTAGTTTTCTATAGTTTCACCACAAAGGGTAGATTTTTTTAAAAATTCATTTTTCCTTTTTTTTTTTTTTTAAAGACAGAGTCTTGCTATGTAGGCCAGACTGTCCTTAAACTTAAGTTCCTTCTGCCTCCATTTCCCAAGTGCTGGGATTGCCGCTGTGCACCACCACACCCAGCTAAATCCATCTTTCTTGATTTACTTGCTTTTCTTGATTTTAAATTGCTGACTTCATTAGTTCTCAAACATCCTGAACTCCATTCTTCTCTTCCTTTCATTCTGGGACTCTGGTTGTACCTTCCATACCTTTTAACATCTTTGCCATAATACATTCTCTTTCACTCTCTGGACTGAATTCTGGACAGTTTCACAAATGTCTTCTTGTTCATGGATTCTCCAAATTTGTCTCATCGCCCATTAAAATCATTTTTTATTAATTTTATTACTAAAGGTATATTTAGTTATTTTTTAGATTTGCTTCCTCACTCACATTTTCTTAAAATGTACTTAATATATTCTTTAATTTCTGAATATTTTAATTATTGTTTCTGAAAATTCTAATATCTGAAGCATTTGTGGGTCTCAGTCTTCTCTCTGATCTCATTTTTTTTTTTTAATGCTGCATCTTACTTGTGATCCCTTATTTTCTTCTGTATGTGGTGATTCCTTTTTCCTTTGATCCTTGGAGCTTTATATGTGGAAATTTAGTGAGGTATAAAATGATGAGTTCTTGGAGAGGAATTCACTTATGGTTAATAGATGCTGGTGGTACTGGTGGTTCAGGATCGTTTAATACTGAATTCCCAGCTTGAAAATTTTTAGGCCACCAGTGTGAGATCTGGATCATAGCCGTGAATCTTCCAGAAATCTTTTTTCCCCCTTAATTCTGTTCAGAGGATAAAGAGGTTATCAATTTTTCTTCAATATCTTTGGGATTTCTTCTTTATGAATGGTATCCTATTGGATTTCCCACATTAGTACGGTTCTTAAGACACATAAAGGCTTAAAGCAGACCCTCATCTTCATCCTCACAAGATAAAAGGTAGCTCTTGTGACTACTGTTACTTGTGCTCTCCCCAAGAGCCCTCCTTACTTGATTGCCTACTTTTGAATGTGTTTTTTTAGGGCTAGGGTGTGTTTCAGTGCTAGAACATTTGCTTCACGATGTGAGGCCCTGGGTTCAATTCCAGACACCAACAAATAAATATAAATGCCTTATATTTTTTATGGTTGAATCCTGAATTTTTAGTTGATCTTGATGGACATTTTGACTAAGTTATCATGATTGCCTGGTTTTGATGATAGTATCTTGTAAAATGGACTAATAGCAACTTTTTATTCTAATAGTGTCCACTTTCCTCAGGCTGTACCCAAATACTCCCTGACTTGCTGTCATTATGCATGAACAGTGTGGAAAAATCCAAGTCCTTTTGTGAGCCAACTGTTCTGTTTCCCAAAGTGTTGTGATACCACAGAGGTTACGCCTGGCTCCCTGCTCCCTAGTTACTTATATCCATGAAGAAATATGCATTTGAAGTGAAGACTTATTAGCCGGGCCTGGTGGTACCTGCATGAATCCCAGCAATTGGGATGCTGAGACAAAAGGATGGTGTATTAGAGATCAGTCTGTGCTACATGG